CAGGAACCCTCCGTGAAAGAAATTAGGAGGGTGGGTACTCGGAGGAGGGCTTTCTCTGTGGTGGCGCCCAATCTATGGAACGCGCTCCCCAGAGAGGTCCGCCTGGCGCCGTCGTTATTTGTTTTTCGGCGCCAGGCGAAGACCTTTTTATTTAAGCATCATTTTAATTGTTAACAATATTTGCTTATTTATCTGGCCAGAGCAACGTCTTTTATATTGTTATTTATTTTATATTGTTAATTTTATATTGTCATTTTTGTATTTTATTGTATTTTATTTTGTGTTGTGAGCCGCCCCGAGGCTTCGGCAAGAGGCGGCATAGAAATGTTTAAATAAATAAATAAATAAATAAATAAATAAATAAATAAATAAGGGAAGCTTTATACTAAGAGTATTGTCCCCACCCTTTCCCTCAAAGGGAGCAACTGTCAGGTATGTTGCTAAGCGACTGCTAGATTTTGATGGAAGCGGTGCCCTGGACAACTCATATGCACACTAAATGTTAAATGCGAGGAGTGGAAGTGATGATACGGTAACAAAATGTGGTGTCATAGAAGTATGAAATGGCAGAAGATGGATCACAAAGCCACACCGCTGTCGAGCAATCTTTTATAGCTGGGTGGACTAGAGAGCCATGGAACTCTTCTGACACAGTATATCTTTGAAACATTTCATATTTCAATTGGAAGCTCTAGATATTTTGGTTCAGTTTTACTGAAGTGATTTTAGAAGAAAAATGGACATCATCTTATCATTATTACATCGCATTTTATATCTTGCTTTTTTTCTTCTTGTCAAACTGACACTGGAAAGGACTGCCTTGGAAGTTCACTGCAGGGATCTAAGTGAAGGCTGGATCGCCACTTATCAGGGATGGCTGTAGGAATGGATTTTCTGCATCAGGCATATTTCAAACAGATGATATTAAGCTTCCCCTCCAACTCTGATTCTAAATCCTTTGATTCCCGAGGGTTAGGCTTACATTTTTTGCTAATTTAGGGCTAATGAGCTGCAATGATCTTACACTGAGGAAACTGGTCCTAATGGACCCTCGCATGAACAGATTTTCTGTCATGTTTTTTCAAGAAGCAGTTACCTGTGTCTCATTGTAAACATTCACTACATTGATAGGCCTGTGAGTGTCGCAGACAAAGAAAATTATGTCTCCCTCAGGCTGAAGGATATCCAGCAGGTCAACGTTGGCACCACAATTTATTAAAACAAAATACTGGAACTGTAAACAAACAAGTTAAATTACTATGTAAATAGGCTTGTTGTCATTTATGAAATGCTATCTAGTATATAAACATTAATGCTTCTCACAAAATCATATCTTTTCACAACTAGCATAAACTCTCAGTTCTTTATATTTCTAATGAGATAACATATCTTAGTTTCCTGGAACTGCAAACAAAAAAGAATTAACCTAGTTCTCTATTTGGCCAAAACTGAAAGAAAGCTGCATGCAAATGAACTCTAATGTAAGTTATTTTATCTGACAAGTAAGGCCACAAAAACAATGGATGCTGCAATGTTATGCAGGCTTAGTTACATCTGGGAAAGGGCTGCAGCATTATGGATGAGCACATAGCTTGTGTGTAAAATGTTCCAGGTTCAATCATCAGCAACTCCAAGCAGCACTGGCAAAAACTTCTGCTTGACAAACCAGAGAGCTGCAGCTAGTCACTGCAGACAACACTGAATTAGTAAACCAATGGTATAAGGCAGCTTCATAGATCCTTTCCATCAGTTTCAATGGCATGCCTAATTCTGCATAAGACTGGCTCACCCAAAGGTAATCCTCTGCAAAATTATTTGAGAGTAAGCTCTGATGAATTTAGTAAGACTTCTTTCTGGGCAAATAGGCATTTTCTGTACTAAAAGATATGAACACTGTACTTTTTTCTGTTAAGCATGTTTTTACCTGATCCTTATGCTCAAGAAATGCAGTTTCAAGTTCTTGCCATCCAGATACTGGGACTAAAGTATATTGCACATGATCACAATGAAACAAGGCCTCAAAAGAAACAAAAGTTACAGTTAGTATAAGAGAAACATTAATTGCTATTGGTAACATAGTATTGTTACCAATTGTTACCATAGTATTGTTATGGCTTTTGCTCAAGGCTTATCACAGAAAATTACAGATCAACAGGGAAGTTCTGAATCCAAAAGCTGGTATAAGAAGCATGAACTATAACCACAATGTTTAACTATACACCAACCAACACCAGTCATTCTCATCCAACTTTCAAGGTTCCATTTACCTAAGTATTGAAACATTTCAGTTACAGTAAATACAGTGATGGAAAGTGGAGGGCACATAGGCTTCCACCTTACCTTACTGTAGATTCTTGTACATCTTTAATATTTTGAAAGGTGGGGCTAGATGAATCACCAGTTGGAATTCAGATTGCTGGGAGAAATATCAACAACCTCAGATATGCAGATGATACCACTCTCATGGAAGAAAGTGAAGAGGAACTAAAGAGCCTCTTGATGCGGGTGAAGGAGGAGAGCACAAAAGTTGGCTTGAAACTCAACATTAAGAAAACTAAGATCATGGCATCTGGTCCACTCACTTCCTGGCAAATAGATGGGGAAAAAATGGAGGTAGTGACAGATTTTTTTTTCCTGGGCTCCAAGATCACCGCAGATGGGGACTGCAGCCAAGAAATTAAAAGACGCTTGCTCCTGGGGAGGAAAGCTATGGCAAATCTAGACAGCATACTAAAAAGCAGAG